AGGAAGGAAGGAAGGAAGGAAGGAAGGAAGGAAGGAAGGAAGGAAGGAAGGAAGGAAGGAAGGAAGGAAGGAATGGTGTTACTACATTGTGAGAATCCAAACACAGACAACTGAGCTTGAGTCTCTGAGAGCATTTTAATATGCAGGATGATTTCTTAGGCATCTGATGTGAGAAAATCGATTTTGTTCCCTGTTGGAATGTTCAATCTGTGTCTCTGTCTTTGCCCAACTTGTATATATGCAAATTAAAGCAAATATTACAGACGCTACTCAGTCTCCAGAGCCCTTCTTCTAAGAAAAAGGAAAGCAAATCTGGATAGGAATTCATACTCTGGAATTTTTAATCCTCTGGAGAATCAGGTTGAGTATCAAGTCAAGTCTCCAAGCTGTGCTTAGCTCCTGGACATCATAGACAAGTCCATGATGTATTCTTGGCTTGCTGCTAACTTATTCTACAGTGTGTGTGTGTGTGTGTGTGTGTGTGTGCACATTTTACTTTCCAGTCTAGCCTACAGGTTCTGGGATTCCTTAGTGATCTCCCATCTGAATATTCACCACATCGGAATCTTAGCTTTATGAGATCAGCCAAGTCTGTCTAGGTGCAGCCATCCAATGGGTCTAACTGATCAACTAGAATCATATCTTTGATCTCAGATTTGGTAAATATTTTGCAAGGAAGAATAGGAGACAGCTTGACACTTGCAGTTGTGAGAGAAAGCAATGCTGAATAATATGGGGCTGTGAGGGTTTATTTAGGATGCATAAGAGATCTCCTAGGTCCAAAACAAAAGCAATACACATACACAATTCCTTTTTTCCAAACACATCAATACTTTTTAGATAAATGATTCCATTAGCAAGGATGCTTGGCAGTCAACACTTAATTAGAAATTAGAATAGTGTCTCGCTGAGATCAGTCCAAACTGTGTGTCCCATATAAAATGGGGGGGGGGTCACCTCCATTTCCAAAGAGTGGTTAGAATACATCAGGATTCCAGGCCCTCACAATAAAGATTTTAAAAAGAAAGCAAGCCACATTAAATGTATTAGACCAATTCAGGTTGTAAGGAAACTGCAACTCTCTGAACACTGCTTTTAGAAAGGATTACACTGGTAAAAGGTGTTTACTTTTTTGAAGGCTCAACACAAAAACGAAAAGGAATTGGGATAAAGAGGGGGAAATACTCAAGCACTAATTAAAGGTTTCATGAAGAAGTCCATGTTGTATCAAAGTTGTTTCCATTAGCTTCTTCTCATATACATCATGTGTGTGTGTGTATATATGTATATTTCACCTTACCAGAACCAACCCAACCTGATCCTGCTCAGCTCCTGAGCTCAGGCACGAATGACCAGATGCTACCACCTGCTGAAATCAGGCACAAATCATTAATTTAATATTTGGTTACCTCCTAAGAAGAAAAGCATCATCTCAGCAATAGCTGCAACAAACCTAAATGCCAGAGTGGCTTTCCAGATGTTGCTGAATTAGCGCTCCCCTCCTCTCTCACCATTGGGTCCACCAGCTGAAGCTTCAGGAAGCTGTAAGGCAGATTTTCAGTTCCTTTATGCAATGTCAGTAGGGCCATCTAGTGGTCAACGGATTGTTGCCATCCACATCTGGTAGCCTTATTCTGGTTAACCACGGACTGTGAATGAGAGGAGAGGCTAATGTATCCTGTATACATATATGGAGTCCTTGGTGCCCTCTGAGCTTGGTGGTTTGCTTGCAGACATTTCATTACAGCAAATCCTGCACTGATGACGTTACCTAGTTGGGTCATGAAACGTCTGCAAGCAAACCACCAAGCTCAGAGAGCACCAAGGACTCCACACTTCAGCCTTGAGCTATGGACAGTCTCTTTTGTTGGAATAGATGATATATAGATAAACTCGCTCACATAAAGCCCCAGATAACTGTTGGAAGGATCACAGTCCCCATCACTCTCTGCAATGATACCACAATGACTGTATTCACACAACAAGTTGAGCAAAGGCCGGGCCGCAGATGGCTTTGGCCAACAGGCTTGACTGAGGTTCACCTTGGTTGGGTTGGTGGCGGTGGGGTGTGCAGAGCTGGAGGGCTCAGCCCCCTGTCCCACACTCAGCTCGCTTGATCGCTTAGGGTTCAAGGCGTCTTGTCCTCGACCCCCCCCCCCCGAAAATGGGCTAACGCAAGGAGCAAGCGAAGACCGCTTTCTGCCCTCCTCCGCTCTTCCTCCCCCACTAGAGCCAGGATGACTCACTTCGCTTTCGCTCCGCTGCCGCCTCTGGAAAACGGGGGGGGCGGGGGTGGAGAGAAAGGGCGAGCGAGGCTCCGCCCCCTTTCCGCCCCGAACGGACCGGGGGGGGAGGGAGCACTCCTGCCCGCGGGCACTCCGGGAAGGCGGGGGAATGGGACCCGTCCCCGGGAGGAGCGAGAGAAACGCCCCTTCCCTCTTCCGATCCTGCACCGCGACCCCCTCCGAGGCGGAGGCCCTCCCCCCCCGGCACTCACAAGAAGAGACCCACCACCGGCGCCCGCACCCCCACTCCCAGCAGCAGGGCCAGCCCCGCCCGCGGGACCGGCCACATTCTTCACTCCTGCTGCG